CTCCTATATGGGATGAAAGCTGGTCTCTGGGTAGCTGCTGGTGACCCCTTGGAATTTTGTATCTGCCCCTTGCCTCTCTCCAGGTGACGCACATGCCTGTCCTGTTTGCTTTTACAAGGGGAGTGGCATCCCTGACCTTTCTCTTATAACTTACCTGGCTGAGGTTGGACATGTGATATCAGCTGGGATTCTGGAAGGTTGGAAGTCCCTCCAGATAGAGACTGGGACTGCTCCAACTCATACCATTTCCTTGTCCCTCATGCAACCCTTCCCTTCTCTCCCACCTCCTCCTTGACCTGCCTCCTCCCCCATCCCCCACCCTCTCTGCCCACTGCTTTATTCAGCTTTGACCACCTCTTCCAATTTCTAGACTAGAAGTTCTTGGAAAAAACTGAGAGCCACATTCCATCCCTGCAGAAGGATTGAACACATGTGTGGGCAGGGTGTTGTAAGGAAGGGGGTACCACAAGATGGAGAGTGCTAGAGCCTGTGCCTGCTCCTGGGATGCCACAGTTTCGGTCCTGGGGCAATTGCTTCTCCCTCCTGAATAGTCACGGGAGAGTGTCATCTTGACAGAGGGGGTTACAGTGTCACCATTGTCGCCACCAGAGGGCAGCAGCCAGCCAGACCTTTGCTCTGTGGGTCTCCTCTCCTGGCTCTCTGTATCTTTCCAAATCTTGTCCCAGCTGCCTGTGGTCTCATTCAACCCCAGGAGCATGGGTGGGAGAGTAGAAAGACACTGGAACCTGTAGATGATGTCCTTTGCCGCTGTCTTGGTGAAGTCCCCAAGAGGCTAAACCCAGTCCCCAAAGCCACACCAAAGTCTAGCCGAGATTTCAACCTGACTCTCCTGTCTGATTGCCAGACCCCTTAGAGCACCAGGGAGGCCATTCCCAGATCATCTGTGAGACCCGGCTGGGGGTCCCAGACCCCTAGCTATGGTATAGTAAGTTTTGGTCGTCTCCTTCCTTTTTGAGGGCATGGGGAATGCAAAGCTGTGGTCAAGCGTTCATGAAGCAGTCTCTGCCCCAGGTAAACAGCATGGCTGGTTAGTTAACCTCTCTGAGTCCTTCTCATTGGCTGAATTCATGACTGATGAGTAGTAAGAGAATACAGGTGAAGGTGATTTGTAAACGATGATTTATCAAACACATTTAAGGGACAATGATGATACCTGAGAAAAAAACTGGTCTCAGGATCAGATCTGGGCTTGAGGTCTGTTTGCCATTTACAGTGGATGACTTTTGGAAAACTCAATTAACTTCTCTGCGTCTCCAATGCCATCTGGAGTTGTAGGGAACCTCTCTAGAGATGTAGGGGACTGTTAAGAGGATACCTAGCAAGTGCTTTATGGTCCGTAGGCTCTGGGCCTATCTGAGCGGTTGTTTTGGCTGAGACCGTGGGAGTGCCTCCTGGGGGTCAGCAGAAGGACCAGGGCCAGGTGGGTATTGGTGGTGGAAGCAAAGCAGCTGGCTGGACACCATCAAATTAACTTCTGTGGTTGTCAGGAACTCGTGACGACGGCTGGAGGCCAACAGAGTCCCTACAGGTGGTGACCCCTGTGATGCACCGACAATGAGTGGCTGTTTTCCAGTTTCTGGCCTCCGGTGCCTATCTAGGGTAAGTGAGTCCCTCCAGGGGTGTCCTAGGATGAGGCCTCAGCCCCCCCGTTTTCCATCTCCAGTTAGGAGAAGCCCTAGCCAGCCCATTTTAGGCTTGCCCTCCCCTCTACTGGGGCTTCATTAATCCCTAGAAGCTTCCGTCTCAGGTGTGGGGTCCCGAGGCTTTATATCTGCAATTTGAAGGACCCTGGGCCACTGAAATGCCCACTCGATGTTGATGATCAGAGGGTGACTCTAGGGATGAGGTGGAAGGGACAGTTTGGTTAGGGAGGTGGACAGCCAGTCGAAATCCCAGCTCTGAAATGAGGAGATTGGGCTTCTGTTTCCCGAGGTGTGCCAGGCCATAAGCACCCCAGGAACATGACAGAGGGGCTTAGGAAGAAACCAGAGGAACACTCCCTTCTCAGTGAACTGCGGGAGGAGCTGGGTGGGAGAAAGGCAGTGTGTGGGTATCTGGAAGCTGCATGTCACCTGCTAACTCTGCCCCTCTGCCCCTCTCACATACTGGCAGGCAAAGGTGACTGGGACTTGCTGCTGAGGGCTCTGGCTGTCTCCATTGCTTGCCTTTCCTTGTACCCAGCCAGGTCCCCTGTTGTCCTCTGTCCTCTCCCATGCTGCCTACCACCCTCCCCTCCAGCATGACTCTGGCCCAATGCCTCCACTTCCTGGAATTCCCCTACCCCTATCCCTGCTGTGTCTTCCTGTCCAGCGGTCTGGCATGGCTTCCTCCTAGCCCTCTCCTCCACACCCCCAAATCCCCACTGCCTGCCCCCTCCCACTCCTCTGCCTTTTCAGCCACTGCTGCTCTCTCTCTTCTCCCTTACCTGTCTCCCAGGTATGTCGTGGCCTGGTGTGGGAGGTTCCTACCTCCCCAAGCCCCACTGCTTCTCCTGCTGCCCGCTTGCTTCGGACTCTGACAGAAACCCCACCCGCTGACACGTTCCTCCTGGGGAATTGGCAAGTGATTAGTGATGAGCTGTCAGCATAGGGCCCTAAAACTCCCTGGAGAAGCTGTGCCCCATCCCATCCCATCCCTACACTCCTGTCCAGTGCATTGGGCTGGAAGCAGCTCCCATAGAGCCATAGATTCCCCATGACCCAAAAAGGGAATGAGGAAGCTGGTCCAGTTGGGTGGATGGGTGGTTTCCCTTGACTCTGCCTCAGGGAATGAGGGAGGGGAGCATTCCCACCGCCCTATCTTAATCCACACCAACAACAGGGGCCACTGGAAGTCTCCAAAACAGTCCAGTCCAGAAGCCTCTCCAAAGCCCTGATCCTTGGAAACCGCTCTTCCCTTCTGTTGACTCTTGTTAAGCCCCATTGGCCCATCATGAGAGTAGTGGAAGCAGGTGCCGAGGAAGCCTTCTGGGCATATTGCGGTTAACTGAGAGGTGCCACTGGGATAGTCAGGGAAGGCTGGGGATAGGGGTGGTGGAGTTGGGTACTCCTCCCAGCTTAACCAGCCTTGGGTCCTCCTCAGGTCTTGGATGTGCCAGCGCCTCTGGCCGCGGCCCGCTAACCAGCCTCTCCCGGGCCGGCTCCCGCCGCGCCCCCTCTCGCTTGCCCCCTCCTCCTCCTCCTGCTGCTCTCCCCCCTGCTCCCAGGACGGCGGGATGGCCGCGCAGGGCGCACCGCGCTTTCTCCTGACCTTCGACTTTGACGAGACTATCGTGGACGAGAACAGCGACGACTCGATCGTGCGCGCCGCGCCGGGCCAGCGGCTGCCGGAGAGCCTGCGAGCCACCTACCGCGAGGGCTTCTACAACGAGTACATGCAGCGCGTCTTCAAGTACCTGGGCGAGCAGGGCGTGCGACCGCGGGACCTGCGCGCCATCTACGAAGCCATCCCTTTGTCGCCAGGCATGGGCGACCTGCTGCAGTTTGTGGCTAAGCAGGGCTCCTGCTTCGAGGTGATTCTCATCTCCGATGCCAACACCTTTGGCGTGGAGAGCGCGCTGCGCGCCGCCGGCCACCACAGCCTGTTTCGTCGCATCCTCAGCAACCCGTCGGGGCCCGACGCGCGGGGACTGCTGGCTCTGCGGCCGTTCCACACACACAGCTGCGCGCGCTGCCCCGCCAACATGTGCAAGCACAAGGTGCTCAGCGACTACCTGCGCGAGCGGGCCCACGACGGCGTGCACTTCGAGCGCCTCTTCTACGTGGGCGACGGCGCCAACGACTTCTGCCCCATGGGGCTGCTGGCGGGCGGCGACGTGGCCTTCCCGCGCCGCGGCTACCCCATGCACCGCCTCATCCAGGAGGCCCAGAAGGCCGAGCCCAGCTCGTTCCGCGCCAGCGTGGTGCCCTGGGAAACGGCCGCCGACGTGCGCCAACACCTGCAGCAGGTGCTGAAGTCGTGCTGAGGACGGCCGCCTGCAGGGGGCGCCAGAGCCAGCGGCGGAGGGGCGGGGAGTGGGGATTCGGGAAAGACAAAGTTAGTTTTACTACTTCCCTTTCCCTTTGGCTTTGCTATGTCCCTCTGGGAATTTCTGGAATCTCGTCCAGTTGGGGGCTTGGGGAGGGGACTCAGGGCCTTCCCTATCTATGCAGTTAACCCACCTCAGCCGCCTCCCCCGCTCCACGGCGCACGGTTGGGTTAGGGAGTCTGACCCATCGCGGGGTGGCGCGCAAACCCTGGAAGGCAGCAGTGTTTCTTGCTCTTCCCAACTGGGAGAAAGGGGCCCGGCAGGTGAGAGAAGGAGCTTCTCCCGCCGCTGTAACTGTTGCCTCGGACCACGTGACTGTCTCCCTCCAGTCTTCTGTGGAGGGAACCCAGGATCCTGAAATCCTCGTGGCCGCAAGGACTCCCCGCGGAGACAGAGGAGGGTCTCCGCCTAGGGTCCCAGGCCTTCGCGATCTTGGTTCACCCACCGCGACCCCACACTGTTTCTGTGCTGTCAACACCCTCTTGCCTCCCGATCCCCGCACTCCCTTCTAGCACCCCCAAAGGAAAAGCCAGAGGGAACAATCGCCTCCTGGTGGTGGTATGAGGTAGCGCACCGTCCGGCTCGGGTCCGGCCAGCCAGTAACTTCGCAGCGCGCGACGGTGTCTCCTTGCACCCCAGCCTCGTCTATACAGCGAGAGACCAGGGACTTCAAAGTCGCCCTTGCGGGCTGAGCCCTCCGCGCACTACCCCTCCCCCCATGGAACAGAAAGCCATGATGTTTTTAAGCAGAACCAGCGAAACCCTAGCCCCTCTTTCCTCTGGCGTTTTAGAACTATAAAGGAGGTGAAGGGGGAAGAAATGACAGATCTCTTGCACATCAGTCTGAGTTGAGAGTGAGGTGCTCTCGGAGAGCCCTGCTTAAATCAGGGAGATCGTCCCCACTCTTGGGCAAGTGCCCAGCCAAATATGAACACCACGCGCACAGAGAGCGGTGGGCAAAAGAGCAAGCCGCGGTCAATGGCTGCAGAGGGGCGTCCCGGGTCCAATGTGGCCTGCACTTTGTGGCTACCGAGGGGATGGGAGATGCTGCTTCTGGGGCAGCTGGTGGGTTGGGGGTTGGAGGCTGTAATTAGCAGCAGCCTTAGAACTGGGATGCTTTTCAATACCACCTGGCCCCTTATCTCTGTGGGGCAGTCACAGGACATCATCCGTTTTATTCAGAGTTGGCACTTGCAGAAGGAGACCCCGCCCCGTATGGAATAGGGGTCCTCTGTGGACAAGCTTCTTGGGGTCCAGCTCTTCCCATCTGCAGCAGGCCTCTGAGTAAAGTTCTCTCTCCCCACGACCCCCTCCCCTCCACGATGGGAGGAGGGACAGAACACGGCTCACAGCCCAAGAGGTGGGCAGAGTCAGTCCATCTGTGACCAGAGCTGGTTTTGGCCTGGGACTCATGAAACCCACTCAGTGCAGAGAGCGGCTGCCCAGAGAGCCCTGGACTGTCAGCAGCTGGGCTCCACATAGTTCCCAGGGAAGAATCCAGTCCCCTCTGAGCTGACGCCCTCGCACCAGCCATCGGAGTAGCGGCGAGTGACACAGATGATGGTGCCCTCAGAGAAGGAGAGCTCATTGTCCTTCTGGCCGGTGTATGGGTACAGTGTCACCACTGCAGGCCAAGAGAAGAGGGTGCTGTGAGATGTGCCTCTTGCCCTCTCCCCTCCACCCCCCACTGCCGTGGGGAGGCAGGATCTCAAGTACTAGACTCCAGGGGAGAAGGCTGTATGTAGGAGAGGAACTTCTTCCAAGTTTTCAGGACCCCTCCCCAGCTTAGTCAATATTTAACACCAGGCCAGCCACCCTCTCCCCAGCTCTATTCTGAATTCATCAGGAAAATTGTGTGTGGGGCCCACACCTTTGCAGAGGGAGGGGAATGGGGGTCAGAGCAACAGGGAGTGGGATCCGGTGCCTCTCAGTCCCAGAAGTCAGGTACCTTTCTCCAAGTATGAGGCAGGCACCCAGCTGGGCTCATCGGGCCCAAAGCCTGGTGGCGGTGGGGGCAGCCCCAGTTCATCTTCATCCAGGGGTGGAGGAGGAGGCAGGTCCAGTGGCAGGGGCAGCTCTTCGTCTTGGGGGAAAAGCAGAAAGGCTCTAAGTGTGGCACAGGAAACTCCAGTGTGTCAGGAAACTGCTCGAGAGCTGGGCCCTAGAATCCACCTGCCAGGCGCAGTGGCTCACGCCTGTAATCCCAACACTTTGGAAGGCCAAGGCAGGCAGATCACCTGAGGTCAGGAGTTCGAGACCAGCCTGGCCAACATGGTGAAACCATGTCTCTACTAAAAATTAGCTGGGCATGGTGGCACACACCTGTAGTCCCAGCTACCCGGGAGACTGAGGCAAGAAAATCACTCAACCTGGGAGATGGAGGTTGCAGTGAGCCTAGATCTCGCCGATTCACTCCATCCAGCCTGGATGACAGCGAGAGACTCCTTCTCAAAAAAAAAAAAAAAAAATGCACCCAACTCATGCAATCTTCCTCCAGCCTGCTCCTGTCCTCCCACAGTGCTGCTGGCACGTAGTAGGTGCTCAGTAGACCCTGAAAGATCATCCAGGAGTAGAGGACAGTCAGACTCTGCCTCTTATTAGCTGGGTGACCCTTGGGCAAGTCACTGAACTTCAGCTTCAGTGGCTTCGTCTGTTAAGGGACAGTGTAAAGACCCTCTCGGGATGAAGTTTATTTTATTTTTTGAGAGGGAGTCTTGCTGTGTCACCCAGTCTGGAATGCAGTAGGGCAATCTCAGCTCACTGCAGCCTCCGCCTCCAGGGTTCAAGTGATCCTCTTGCCTCAGCCTCCTGAGTAGCTGGGATTACAGGAATGCGCCACCATGCACAGCTAATTTTTGTATTTTTAGTTATGTTGGCAATATTGGTCTCGAACTCCTGACCTCAAGCGATCCGCCCTCCATGGCCTCCCAAAGTGCTGGGATGACAGCCATGAGGCATCCCACCTGGTCCTCAGGATTCAGTTTAAATGAGCAAATGGATGAGAAGCTTTGAACATAGGACCTGGTATCTAGCAGGCGCTAAGTTATATTAGTTCGTTTCCTCCGCCTCTTTCGCTGGCGCGCTGCCCTCCTTGGAGGAGCAGTTCACTGATGCTAGCTGGGGTAGACCCAAGAAGGGTGGGCTGAGGAGTGGCAGGAGACAGAAAAGCGACCCCGCGGTTGGGAAGTAGAAGGGGCGGAGCTCCTTACCCGGTGGGGGCGGGGACAACTCTTCCAGCGGGGGAGGCCGCTGGAACACCTCGACGGCTGCTGGTGGAGGAGGTGGGTCCAAGGAGTTGGGGAGAGGTGGGGCTGGGGGTGCCGTCTGCCGCTTGGGCGTGGAGGCCCCACTGACACCTTCGGCGCTGCTGGATACCAGAGAAAGCGGGGCTCGGCCGGGTTGGCAGACACACGTTCCCCGTGGCAGCATCCCCAACTGGCCCCACTCCTCCAGTCCTGAACGCAGCCCCGCACGTGCGACCCAGAGTCCTCTCAAGCCAGGAGTCACTATGACCACCGGCAGGAGGCCCCTCTCAAAAGCGACCTCCCACCCTCCACCCATCCACGTGGGCCTGTAGGTCTCACCCGGCCGAGGCCAGGGAAGAGGCGGAGGAGGCGGCGGAGAGTTTGCCGTCGGGCACCACCGGGAGGTGCACTGGCTCGGGAATTCGGGGTGGTCTCCTGTCGGGGAACGGGGAGTGGGTATTAGGAGGGAGGAGGAAGACTTCTGGCCAGCAGGGGTCGGGTGCGAGCAGGAAGGGCAGCTGGCCGAGGGGGAAGTTTGGCGCCGTGCATCCAGCAAGACGGCCTGAGCACCCGGGCGCCAGCGGTGGGTGGTGAGGCGGGGGAGGAGAGTTTCAGGGTCGCGCGGGGCAGGGCCAGGCTGGTTGGAGTCTCAGCGAGGTCTCACCCTAATGTGGCGGAGGTGGGTGTGGCAGGGGCCTTGATGCTCTTTCGAGACAGGGTGCCGGTCCTTGACAGCTGCGTGCTGAGGTCCTGCGAGGAAGCTGGAGGTAGGGCTGACATTTGGGGGGAGGGGCGGCTCCCTGCCCTCATCCCCAAGAGGAAATGGGGGGGCAGATGAGAACCTGGAGGGAGAGCCTGGCATGGCCAGTTCCTACTTCCACTTCTCAGGCTCCTCTCCTACCCTTCCCCCACCCCACCCCTTTGTCATTGCCTGGGTTCTGGGACTCAATTCTGCTAAAGCCGACAGCCACTTCCTCTGCACAGCCACAGCGTGTTGAGTCGGCCCAGCACCCCCGTCCCTCCTGCAGACCATCTCAGAGTCCAGAAAGCTGAGGCCCTAAATTTGGTGCTCCCTAACTTTGATTGGGCTGGGGAGGGTGGGGAAAGGAGAGGACATATCACCCTTAGAAGTGTCTCACCTGTCATTTTCACAGATTTGTGGAATTGGCTTGGGGGAGTTAGGGCAGAGAGGAGCAGGACCCAGGCCACTTAAGGGGGATGTGCCAATGACAGGGCACAAGCTAACATGAAAAAGGACACTTCGGCCAGGCACAGTGGCTCACACCTGTAATCCCAGCACTTTGGGAGACCGAGGTGGGTGGATCACTTGAGGTCAGGAGTTCAAGACCAGCCTAGCCAACTTGGCAAAACCCTGTCTCTACTAAAGATACAAAAAATTAGCCGGGCATGGTGGTGCATGCCTGTAATCCCAGCTACTCGGGAGGCTGATGCATGAGAATCGCTTGAACCTGGGAGACCAAGGTTGCAATGCACCAAGATTGCACCATTGCACTCCAGCCTGGGCGACAGGGTGAGATTCTATCTCAAAAGCAAACAACCAACCAAAAGAGCCAGGCACAGTAGCTCACACCTGTAATCCCAGCACTTTGGGAGGCCCAGGCAGGTGGATCACGAGGTCAGAAGTTCAAAACCAGCCTGGCCAAGATGGCGACACCCTGTCTCTACTAAAAACTACAAAAAATTAGCCGGATGTGGTGGCAGGTGCCTGTAATCCCATCTACTCGGGAGGCTGAGGCAGGAGAATTGCTTAAACCCAGGAGGCGGAGGTTGCAGCGAGCCAAGATTGTGCCACTGCACTCCAACCTGGGTGACAGAGCAAGACTCCGTCTCAAAAAATAATGATAAAATTAATTTAAAAAAAAAGAAGAAAGAGGGCACTTCTGTTACCATTGGGGCTTCCCCAAGGGGCTCATACAGTGTTACCTCATTCATGTCACCAGGGGCAAACAAAAGGGAGTCGAGCTGAAGCAAAAGGAATGTAAGTTAAACAACAGAGGCCTTACTGGTGGGAAGGAGGCCTGGTGGCTGGAGGAGAGAGTGTGGTTTCCCCTTTGAGGGGGCTGATCAGTTAGGGATATCAAGGGCTTCATTTAGATACAGAAGTGTCAAAGTATGGATTCAGGAAGTGAAGATGGGACCGGTGTGAGTGGATGTCTCCGACCTCGCACAAGGACACGGGCTGAGAAGGCGCCCTCGCCATGCTCCAAGTCCTCTTTGTGTGGCTGCATCCCCGCTTCTCACCAACAGCAGCTCTGGGGCGACTGCTCAGTGAAGTGACCTCAAACCCCCAGACAGAGGAAGTTGCTGTTCTCATGTGGCTGGGAGCCATTCTCATGCACGCCCTGACATCCTCCCTTCCCCTTCTTCCCCTTCCCACACCCCCAGTGCCCACGGGGGCAGGGAGGGGGGCGAGGAGTGCTCAGGATCTCACACTCAGCAGATCCTCTGAGGACAGTACAGACCAGTTTTGGAGGGAAGGATTACAAAATCCGGGGAGAGGGAGGAGAGCTCAGAGGAGTGGCTTCAGGGAGCGGTGGGGGGTGGGATGGAGTGGCAAGTTGGGACAAAACGTGCAGGATAACTGGAGTCTGCAGGCAAAGGGGCCACAAGGCAGAAGAGGGTGCGTTGGAGGGAAGGAGGAGGGCTCTCTCTACCTTGATCCCATGGCCAATGTCATCCAGGCAGCCAAAGTTGAGGGGTCTCCTGCTGTAGGGCGTGAGAGTGGGTAGGCTCTCTGGGACGATGATCTTCTGGCCTGGGGGCAGCCGCTGGACCGTGGCTAAGGTACCAATCTCTCTTCGGGCCACCTTCTCCATATGCATGTTCACCATCTGCATGACAGGGTTCGAGGTGACATTCAGGGGGTGGTTTGTGTCCAGTGGCCTTCCCTCTAAGGCAGGAAGAAGATAGAGACTTTGGACTGGGGGTAGGGACAGGAGAGGCAGCGAGGTCTAGACAAAGAGGGCCTTTCCCCACCCCCCAGGCCACATAGCAATTGGGAAAAGTATCAGGAAAGGATGAAGCCACTTTGGAGCAACTTCCTGGTGGAAAGAGAATAAGGGTTATTATTAGCTGAGCAGAAACAGGAGGAAAAGAGAAAACGCAACATCCCTGGGGATGCTGAGAAGAGAAAGCGCCGGGCCGGCTTGGGAGCAGAGGGGAAGAATATGGAGGTGGCTGAGAACGGTGGCTGGGGCAGCTCTCCCTTTTGGGGGACAAATAAGTGAACTGACTTCCTCTCAGAATGTTCCATGGAGAAGCCTACAGTATGAAAGGGTGGGAACTCTGGTCTGCCGGGGAGAGGAAAAGACACACCCCACACACTGAACATGTGGGCGATGCACAGGCCAGGCCGAATGTGTGGCGGGATCTGTGCATGTGCTTTATGGGGCAATTCCTCGGTCAAGGATCCAGGAAGGAAGGAGGAGGGTGTGTGCGCTGGAACACTGTGGGGGTGGGGGGTGGAGGGTGTATACGGTATGGTGGTGGCAGTGCTTCCAGGGCTGAAGATGACCTTGTCAAGCAAGCATCCTGGGTCTAGGACATTTATTTATTCATTTATTTTTGAGCCAGAGTTTCTCTCTTGTTGCCCAGGCTGGAGTGCAATGGTGCAATCTTGGCTCACTGCAAACTCTGCCTCCTGGGTTCAAGCGATTCTCCTGCCTCAGCCTCCCAAGTAGCTGGGATTACAGGCGCACGCCACCACACCCGGCTAATTTTTGTATTTTTAGTAGAGACGGGGTTTCACCATGTTGGCGAGGCTGATCTCGAACTCCTGACCTCAGGTGATTCACCCGCCTCAGTCTCCTAAAGTGCTAGGATTATAGGCGTGAGCCACTGCACCCAGCCAGGTCTAGGATATTTATTAAGACACTGCATGTATTGAGATGCAAGCAGGGTTCATTTGCTTCTTTATTGTGTATGCCGCTGCTGTGGTTGGTAGATAGCACTTTGTAATGTCCAGGATAGAATTCCGAGAAAGAAAGAGCTCTGCCTTCGGGGAATCTGTAGTATAGCCACGGAGATAAGGAGGCCCGAAAAGCTTGGGAAGTGCAAACCTTCTGCCATAGAGTTGGGCATTTGGACATGGAGGAAAGCAGGAAGGAACTTTTGCTGTAGAAAATGTCTGAGTCAGGCTGAAGAGTTGAGGCCTGACTCAAGATGCCTTCCCACGCTCCTTACCTGGCCCAGCGTGCTTACTCGGGCTTCCACCTGTCTCAGGGCAGCCCCCTGCAGGTCCAACATGCGCAGAGTGTGACCAGCCAGGTTGCCCACCTGGTAGGCCACACTGGCCAGTGCCTGGGTAGTGAAGGCCATGGTCTCCTCCAGCGCCTTCCGCTTGTCTGTGGCCTGAAATACACACAGCCCTGGCCTCAGGGCCAGCATCTTCCACTGGGTCCTTGGCTTGCTGGGGTGGGATGGGAGAGGGTATAGGGAAAGTAGGGGCTGGATTAGGAGACAGCAGCAGCCCTCAGATATCTGAGGTAGCTTCCAGCAGAAGGACATTGTCAGAAGAGGGACTTGCTACAATATCAGTTTAAATTCACTTTAAAAAAGTGAATCTGCGGCCTTGGGGAATGGATGCAAAGGGAGGGAAAGATGCCCATTCTCAAATAGCCAGGCCGAGGACTTTGTGGAGATGAGGTACAACCCTCCTGAAGAATTCAGTAACAGGCTGTCCTTTTAGGGGCTGGAGTGGGGGTGAATGGTAGAAAGGAAAGAGGAAGGCCACACTGGCTAGAGCAGACAATCTTTTTTTTTTTTTTTTTTTTTTGAGACAGAGTCTCACTTTGTTGCCCAGGCTGGAGTACAATGACATGATCTTGGCTCACTGCAACCTCTGCCTCCTGGGTTCAAGCAATTCTCCAGCCTCAGCCTCCCGAGCAGCTGGGATTACAGGTGTGCACCATCACACCCAGTGAATTTCCATATTTTTAGTAGAGGCGGGGTTTCACCATGTTGGCCACGCTGGTCTTGAACTCCTGACCTCAAGTGATCCACCTTCCTCGGCCTCTGAAAGTGCTGGGGTTACAGGAATGAACCACTGCCCCTGGCCAAGCAGACATTCTTTTTTTTTTTTTGAGACAGAGGTTCGCTCTTGTTGCCGTGGCTGGAGTGCAGTGATGCGATCTCGGCTCACTGCAGCCTCTCCCTCCCAGGTTCAAGTGCACATGCATTCTCCTGCTTCAGTCTCTCAACTAGCCGGGATTATAGGCATCCACCACCATGGCCGGCTAATTTTAAATTTTTTTTAGTAGAGATCGGGGTTTTTCTTCATGTAGATCAGGCTGGTGTTGGACTCCTGTTCTCAGGTGAGGTCTGCCTCAGCCTCCCAGAGTTCTGGGATTACAGGCGTGACCTACTGCACCCGGCCGACTTTCTTAAAAAGAAACAAACCATGGCCAGGTGCAGTGGCTCACGACTATAATTCCACTACTTTGGGAGGCCCGGGTGGGCATATCACTTGAGGCCAGGAGTTTGAGACCAGCCTGGCTACCATGGCGAAATGTTGTCTCTACTAAAAATTAACCAGACATGGTGGTGCGTGCCTGTAATCCCAGATACTCGGGAGGCTGAGGCATGAGAATCACTTGAACCTGGGAGGTGGAGGTTACAGTGAGCTGAAATCACATCACTGCACTCCAGCCTGGGGGACAGAGTGAGACCCTGTCTCAAAAAAAAAAAAAAGCTTTCCATGTGACTCTTGTGCTGTTTGTTTAGCTCCAGTCTGCAGATTGGTATTTGGGAACTCAGATAAGGAAACTGAGGCCCAGAACAGTGGGACTGTATTCATTCATTCCCTCCTATAGCTTTCCAATACTCTGAGGACAAAATCCAAGCTTCTAACCGTGGCCTACGACAGCCCCTCCAGGTCTGGCTCCTTTCTCTTTCACCTTCATCTCCTCAAATCCATCTTCACCACTTCCTTCTCACACCCTTCCCCCGGCCACATTGGCCATTGGGTTTTGTTCCTGAACAAGCTGAAGTGTTTCTGCTTCAGGGCCTTGGCACGCGCTGTGCTTATTTTCAGAATCCTTCTTTTTTTTCTTTTTTTTTTTTTTTGAGATGGAGTCTCACTCTGTCACCCAGGCTGCAGTGCATTGGCATGATTTTGGCTCACTGCAACCTCCACTTCCCAGGTTCAAGCGATTCTCCTGCCTCAGCCTCTCAAGTGGCTGGGACTACAGGTGCATGCCACCACACTTGGCTAATTTTTTGTATTTTTAGTAGAGACAGGGTTTCACCGTGTTAGCCAGGATGGTCTCGATCTCCTGACCTCGTGATCCGCCCGCCCCAGCCTCCCAAAGTGCTGGGATTACAGGTGTGAACCACTGCACTCAGCCCTCAGAATCTTCTTATTAGCAGGCCTCAGCTTCTCAGAGACACCTTCCTTCCCCACACCAAGATTTGCCCCCGCCCACCCCTTCCCTGCCTCTTTTTCATATTTACCCTATTCTCTGTTCTTCATGGTTTTTAGCACTATCAAACACCATCCATGCAGTTTTCCATTATCTACCCCCCTCCCTTAAATGGAAGTGTCGTGAAAGCAGGGAGCTTGTCTGTTTCATCCTGCATCCCGTCATGGAATCGCGCCCAACATGCAGAAGAGTCTTCATAAATATGCACTTGTGAGTTAATTAGCAGGTCGAATGGGAACCCAAACATTCTCTGGGCACATTCCCACTGTGTTCTAGGCACGGTGCCAGGCGCTGGCCAGGGTCACACTGCCAGTCAGTGCAGGAGGGGTGAGCAGGCAGTGGCTGAAGGAAAGAAGTTTTTTTTTGGTGCAAGATCAGGCTGTGGGGGGTGGGACAAAACTTCTCTGGTCTTTTGGTTCCGCAGGCAGCTTCCTCATCTCTGGTCGGGTGGTGGAGTCACCATACTCCAGCCTGTACCTTTCTAAGGCAGGTAGGGGGCAAGTCCAGGGTGACACTGGGGTAGGGGCAGTGGGCCAACAGGCCAGGCTGCACACTGGAGTCTCCTTGCTGGAGCCCACGGGTGCCCCTCAGGGCCTGTCAATGGACAGCAGACCTGCAACCTCTAAAAGCAGGGTCTAAGACACCTGGGAGCCTCTAATGGAGCCTGAGCCAGAACTTCTGGAAAACCCAGGCGGTAGCTGTCTCTTCCCTGTCTTTCTTTTCCAACAGCGGGAAAGAGATGCTCATTTGCATGTTCATTTACATCTCATCAGCATATGCAACAAAATTTATATCTCCTCAGCCTATGTCACCAAGAACTTTGAATAGGCAAAGAAATCAACCCAGGATAGTAAAACCAGACAGGGTAACAGGTCTTGATTTAGTTCAGGACCTTCCTTTACTCAATGAGGAAACAGGCCCAGAAGTAGCAGTGACTACTCCTCCATCTCCACCCAGGTTTCTTTCTTTTTTTTTTTTTGAGATGGAGTCTTGCTCTGTCGCCAGTCCACCCAGATTGCTTAGCTTGCCTGTCTTCTCCTGTATAGTTTTCTCCCCAAACTGACATGTAGAATTGTTGGCCCAAACAGGAAAAGTGTCTGCTTGCGCCCAGCTCTGGGCACCTGGAGCCTGAACACCTACTGGCCCCTGGCTTTGCTCTTGGCCCAGTTAGGTCTGCAGGGACAAGGGTTTGGGATCCATCTCTGCGGCTGAGTGCTTGTTTGTCATGCAAATTACCCTGTGTGTAAACTCAGTCAACCCTGGCCAAGAACTCTGCAGGTGACCCCTGGTCTGCCTTCCCTAATTCCCCGTGGGTTTCCTAACATCTCAGTGGTGTGGGGAGAGAAGGGCTGCAGGTGACAGGGGAGTGTAGGGGAATCAGCCCTTATGTAACAGCAATTCTGAGATTCAGAAACTTCCTAGGCATTTGCCCAAAGAGCCTCAGAAAGGCCAGGAAAGGTAACAGGTTGTGTGTTCTAGTAGTTAGTGTTCTGCATGAAGGAAGCAGGAGTCCAGGGATCCCAGCCTGGGTCAGGGCTTCTGATGCCCTGCATATTTTTGCAAGGACAGCTTTTACTCCCTAGAACTGATTCTTATTATTCATCTTTCCAATGAATGATAATGGTGACGGTAGTCACAGTAAGAGCTGCCATTTATCCTGCTCTTCTGAAGGGGCGGGCACTAGGCTAAATGCCTTGATACATTTTTATATTAAGCCCATGGAGCCACCCCTGAAGGCAGGCATGAGAATCAGAGGAAAAACTTGCCACAGTTCCTATAATTGGTAGGTGGCAGAGCTGGAAATTGGACTTTGGTCTTTGTGACCCCAGACTGCACTGTGTGTGCAAATGAGTGGAAGCTCTTTGAGGCGTGCAGAAGTTATGGGAAGAATGGAAAGGGCTGCTTGGATCCTTGTCCATAAAGGGAACATGCCTTTCTTTCTCTTTTTTTGAGACAGAGTCTCACTCTGTTGCCCAGGCTGGCGTGCAGTGGTGCGATCTTGGCTCACTGCAACCTCTGCCTCCTGGGTTCAAGCAATTCTCATGCCTCAGCCTCCCACGTAGCTGGGGTTACAGGCATGCGCCAGCACACCCGGCTATTTCTTCTCTTTTTTTTTTTTTTTTTTTTTTTTTTTTTTTTTTTTTTTTTTTTTTTTTTTTTTAGACGGAGTTTCGCTCTTGTTACCCAGGCTGGAGTGCAATGGCGCGATCTCGGCTCACCGCAACCTCCGCCTCTTGGATTCAGGCAATTCTCCTGCCTCAGCCTCCTGAGTAGCTGGGATTACAGGCACGCACCACCATGCCCAGCTAATGTTTTGTAGTTTTAGTAGAGACGGGGTTTCACCATGTTGACCAGGATGGTCTCGATCTCTTGACCTCGTGATCCACCCGCCTCGGCCTCCCAAAGTGCTGGGATTACAGGCTTGAGCCACCGCGCCCGGCCCTTTTTTTTTTCGTTTGTTTGTTTGTTTTTGTTTTTTTAGTAGAGACAGGGTTTCACCATGTTGGCCAGGTTGGTCTTAAACTCCTGGCCTCAAGTGATCCACCCGCCTCGGCCTCCCAAAGTGCTAGGATTACAGGCCTGAGCCACCACGCCTGGCGGGGGGACATGCTTTTCTATGCTAGAAGAATGCGCTGGTTTGCAAGCCTTGTTCTGTTTCATCTGCAGGTGGTCATTCAACATCCAAACAGATGGAAATGATACCCAGAGTAGCATTTTCAGTTAGTGGAATAGGGAATGGGCTTTGGAATCAGATTTCTGGGTTTGAATTTGGGCTCTACCACTAGCTTGGAGACCTCTGGGAAAATGTCTTCACCTTTCCAAACCTCAGCTTCCTCATTGTGAAGTGGGAATGGTACTCGCCTCACTAGACCTGAGATGAGGATGAAGGGAGGCGAAGCTGGTAACATGTCTGGCCCAAAGGAAGGGTCCAGAGTGTTTTAACTGCTGTCATCACTGACTCTCTTTAATCTGCCATTTCCCATGAGTGCATGTTCCTCATTTATTTCTTTTTTTCAACATTCTTATTATGCTAGGAGGTCCCTGTGCCTGTTCTCATAGTTTGGTTAGTACAGGTTAGAAAAATAAAGTTTTGCCCCGGGAGTAATAATGTTAGCCTGCAGCAATTCAGGGAGCAGAGGAAATCAAGGCCAGAGAGTGCAAATAAACTGTCTTAAAGTCACACAGCAAGTCGGGAGGCAGAAAGATGGAGAGGAAAGAGCTTGGCATCAGAAGTCAGGGAGGCCCAAGTGTGGTGGCTCACATCTGTAATCTTAGCACTTTGGGAGGCCAAGGTGGGCAGATCACTTGAGGCCAGGAGTTCAAGACCAGCCTGGGCTACATATTGAGACCCTGTCTCTAAAAAACAAAAAATAAAAAAAATTAGCCAGGCATGGTGCCATGTGCCTGTACTCCCAGCTACTCAGGAGGCTGAAGTGGGAGGATTGCTTGAGCCCAGGAGTTCAAAGCTCCAGTAAGCTATGATCATGCCATAGCACTCCAGCCTGGGTGACAGAGGAGACCTTGTCTCAAAAAAAAAAAAAAAAAAATGTGGCGGGGCACAGTGGCTCAGTCCTATAATCCCAGCACTCTGGGAAGCTGAGATGGGTGGATCACCTGAGCCTGACCAACACGGAGAAACCCCGTCTCTACAAAAAATACAAAATTAGCCGGGTGTGGTGGCACATGCTTGTAATCCCAGCTACTCAGGAGGCTGAGGCAGGAGAATCTCTTGAACATGGAAGGCGGAGGTTGTCGTGAGCCAAAGTCAGGCCATCACACTCCAGCCTGGGCAACAAGAGCAAACTCCATCTCAAAAAACAAACAAACAAAGGAATGTCTGGCTCTGCTGATTGGAGCTATGTGGCCTTGGACAAGTCACCTCACCTCCCTGAGCTACTGCTTCCACATCTGTAAAACAGGAATTACATGTCTCACAAGGTAGTTGTACAGATTAATGAAATAACAGAAGTTATTTCCATCATGGCTAAGTTGCCTTGCGTTTCCTCCCTGAATCCAGGAATCTATGTTCTCAGCCCCAGGACAACCACACTATTTACAAACTGTTCTACAATGCCACCTCCCCATCTTCTGCTGGTAGCCTGCTCCCAGCAGTCATGTGGGACATCCCCCTGCCTCTGCCTGAGACCCCCTCTCTTTGGCCCAGACTGCCCTCCCTTATCACCACTCTTCCTCAAATCTCAGAGAAAGCCTTTCCCTGGTCCATCTCAGGTTCACTGTGCTGTTTGGGAAGTTCTTCCGAAGCCTCTCCCAGAGCCGGCCTGGAAATAGAGTGATCACCAGCATCTGTGTGAGGACAGGGGCTTCGGGTCTCTGGACCAACCTGGGGGACTAAGAAGGATGAACCTGGGGTGAGCCTGAGAACAGGATGGAATCGCACTGTCTGTCCCAGACATCTCTGAGGCTCTGAGAGCGAGAAGGGGCACAGTGGGGGCTTGGGTGGTATGGGGTCAGGGTTAAGTGTTGCGGTCTGGGATGAAGCTGAAGCCTGGAGTGGGAAGATATCTCAGCCAAAGCCCAGGACAAGCACTGCCAGGATGGCTCCCTAGGCCCCACCTGGGGCTGGGCTCAGGGTCCCCCCTCCAGGGCTGGGGTGTCAGGCCTGTGCCCGCTCTACCTACCTGCACATAGTTGTCCTCGCAGTAGTCAGCGACCCGCAGCAGGGCACTGTGGTTGCCCCGCAGAGCCTCCCGTCCCGTGGGGATCTCAAACTCCTGCAGCTGCTGCAGCTCCGCCATCACCCTCAACCTCTCTCTGGCTCCCCAGGGAGCCCGCTCGTTTTGAGCCTCACCCTGCGCTTGATTGGCTGCGCTGCCTTCCCTCCCTCTTACTGCTTTTGGTTTCCTCTGTGTGAGACCCAAACCTGCTTGCAAAGGGCAGGCATGCTCATTCCGGGACAAGAGGAAGTCAGTCCTGCTCCCTGACCCTGCGCCTCTCTGTCCCCTGCCCAGAGGAAGGGGGAAGCCAGGGGCCCATTTGGGGGCCCAGCCCCCAGTCCCACCCAGCAGAGGAAACCAGGGTCGGGGCAGCTGTGATTGCTCCCTGGTCCTGGAGAGGAAACTGGTCGGTGGGGGGATGGGGTGGGAGAGTGGGGAGGAAGGGGGCTGGCCTGCTATAGGGGGTGGAGGTGGATTTTCCACTTATGGAAGGCGGGAGGAAAGGGCAGAGGGTGGGGGCTTCCTTGGGAAGCTCGGGGATGAGTCACCAAGGGACAGGGGCGTGGAGGGTGGATAGGATATGGAGACCCGTCATACCGGAGAGGACTGTGGGGCGGCAGCACAACAAAAATAGAAAACGGCCAATGCAGCAGCAAGAGGAGCCAGGGTGGACATCGGGAAGACACCGCCAGAGGTTCCAGAGGGGTGTTAGCAAGCCTGCGAACGGCCGTGTGTGATGAAGAGCTGCACTACATGCTCTGTGCTGATGAAGGCAGAACAAGATGAAATTGACCAAGTGTAATCTGAGGAACTCAGATTAGACAACAGGAAGAACTTGGATTTGAGAAGCACCAGGTTCAAATTCCAGATCAACTTGTCGGTTTTAGGAAGCAGCGGTGGACAGAGCAGCGAGCCTGCCTAGGAGGTATGGGCTGTAGTTCATGCATTAACAGGACACTTGGACCAGACGACCTCCACGATCCTGTCCTGATGCCAAATTCTTAGCGCTCCCAGCTGTGAGTGGGACTGGGTTCTGGAGCAGGGGAGTTAGGATGGCCACCCTTTTCTCTGCCCCTCCCACCATCAAGCCTGTCATCCTAGAGAGAGGAGAATAAGAGGACCTCCCACTGACCATGTTTGTCCCTTAAATTCTGCTCCTCCATTGGATCCTTTGTCACTGGGCAGGTGTCAAAGAGCAGTGTCAAAAACAAGGAGGCTCAAACACAGAGCAGGAGCACAAAGTGTTAAATGGCATAGCCCTTGGGTGGTCTTGTGGGGGAGAGCAAGAAAAAAACCAGGATGTGGGCCCTGTGCTGGGGAACCCACACTCAGGGCTCAGAGGGAGGCGTGGCAGCAAAGAAGCTTGAACACAGGCATTAGAGGGTGCCACTCCCCAAGTACTAAGCAGCACAGCATGGTGAGCAAGGACGTTTTTATTGAATAAGTGGATGAAGAGTGAGCTAGGAGAGCCTGGTAAGATGAAACTGTGGGGGTCCAATGGGCACATCGGGCATCTTGGTTAGGTTAGGGGCCGGTCTAGGACTTGCCGCAGGAGGAAGGACAGCCTCAGCGCATGCTCGGAGGTGGGGAGGGAAGGAGGAGAAAGCAGGCGAAGAAAGGCGGGTGAGGCTGCGGGGTGGGAGGCGGGGAAATAGAAGCGCTGGGGGCTCTAAGCTAGTGAGGTCACCAAAAGAGTGAGGCTAATGCAGGGCAAGGTGGTGAGAAGGTGTTTTCTGTTTTCTAATTTGTTTTTGTAGGGAGAATGTCCGTCTCTCTGCTCTGCGGCAGTGAGGGCTTGAAGGCTCAGGCGGGTGATGGGCTTAGAACTTTGAGCCTATGATCAGCTTAGGCATCAGAGATTTTGGTTTCTAGGCCATCTGCTTTATCTGAAGATTTTCAGCTGATGAATAACTAGGAGGCTCAAGCACTGTCTCACCTGAGTTCAGGACAAGCAACTTGGAGAGCGTGCTCTTCTGTGGCAGGTGAGAGGGGCTGAGGTTGCACTGGGCTGGGATCTACTCTTAGAGGTTAGGCACCAGGCAGGTCTTCCTGATAACCCTGCAGTGATCATAATGACAATAGCATTATTAGTGACAATAATAAATGTATTAAGTGTTCATTATGTGCCAGGTAGTATATTATATTTTACTTGCATTATTTTCTTAGGACCTGTAATAATTGTATGTGGTAGGTTTTCTAATACCCATCTTGCAGCTGGAAAAACTAATACTCAAGGGGGTTGAGTGACTTCCCTAAGGCCACATTAAGGTGGGAAGCAACAGAGCCGGGATCAGAGTTGGAGTCAGGCAAGCTCCAGATCCCCTTGTCTCTCTCTCTCTCTTTTTTTTTTTTTTTTTTTTGAGATGAGTCTCACTCTTGTCACCCAGGCTGGAGTGCAGGGGGCTCGATCTCGGCTCACTGCAACCTCCCCCTTCCAGGTTCAATTGATTGTCCTGCATCAGCCTCCCGAGTAGCGGGGGACTACAGGCGTGAGCCACCATCCCTGCCTAATTTTTGTATTTTTAGCAGAGACAGGGTTTTACCATGTTGGCTAGGTTGGTTAGGAACTCCTGACCTCAGGGTGTCTCTGAAGACAGATAATTTAATTTCCTCTATAGACAGGATCCACCTATCTTGGCCTCCCAAAGTGCTGAGATTACAAGCATGAGCCACTGAGCCCGGCATTTTTTTTTTTTTTAAACTTTTTGAGACAGAGTCTAGCTCTGTCACCTAGGCTGAAATGCAGTGGCATGAGCTCGGCTCACTGCAACCTTTGAGTTCAAGTAATTCTCGTACCTCAGCCTCCCGAGTAGCTGGGATTATAGGCACTCATCACCACGCCCAGCTCATTTTTGTATCTTTTGTAAAGATGAGGTTTCACCATGTTGGCCAGGCAGATCTTGAACTCCTGGGCTCAAGCGATCCTCCCACCTTGGCCTCCCAAAGTGCTGGGCTTATAGGGGTGACTCATCACGCCCAGCCAAGACCTCCTTCTCCTGACCATTATTGTATACTCTCCCCTGCTGGACGTGGAGAAAAAGAGAAAAACTCCCTGAGTCACTATACAAAACAGTAACATTGCTTCCCAGATCTCCCTCACCGAAAGGAAGGTGCCCCCTCCTTTTTCTTCCTCCTCTGTTTCCTCTGTAGACAGACAATTTAAATTTCCTCCACAGACAGACAATCCAAAGGCAAAAACTGTGTCCCACCCCATCAGACTGGGACCTTCCTCCCCTCCTGAGCCCAGACTCATGAAGATGCAGGGTGTACAGAGATGGAGTGAATATCTGTTGAATAATGAGGGGCCTGAACTGAGGGATATGGCAGGGAAGAGGCTAGAAGTCGAGGTGTGGAGGGAGCTGGAAGAGCTGATGGGATTTACGATCCTGGCTGCTGAATCCTTTCCGGGATCAGGTCTGTCTAGGGCAGGATGGCCCAGGATCTCAGCGAGAAGGACCTGTTGAAGATGGAGGTCGAGCAGCTAAAGAAGGAAGTGAAAAACACAAGAATTCCGGTGAGCCTCCTCGCCCGGTCCCTGCTCTTCCCTTCCTGTTCCTGATGAGTCCTGGGAAGGAGGAAGTGACCGGAAAGGGTGGTGGGACTGTTCCAGGGCTGCAGAAGCAGCAGGAGGTGCCTCTGGGATGGGGGAGGATGCAGAGAAAGGCTGGGGTTGACCCCGTGAAGGTGCCAGCCTCCCTGAGCACAGGAGAAAGCCTCAGGGCCTTGGAGAGCTCAGCACGTCCAGCCCCTTGTCTGGGCTGGTCCTGGCCAAGCATTCCATGAAGGTCAAGGTCAGTGTTGTGAGTCAGGTCCAGGAACCCACAGTCCGAACACCTGTCTGTCCACTGTGTCTTTCTCCTCTTCGGCTACTGTCTCCACCCTGCCGGGAAGCCTGTTTTCCCAGCTGACCGAATCATGGATTCAGAGAAAGTAACAAGCACCATAAACATTTTCTGTGTTCTCACAGGTTTCCAAAGCGGGAAAGGAAATCAAGGAGTATGTGGAGGCCCAAGCAGGAAACGACCCTTTTATCAAAGGCATCCCTGAAGACAAGAATCCCTTCAAGGAGAAAGGCGGCTGTCTGATAAGCTGATGGCACGGAGCCCCGCCCTGAGTGTCTGTCCCTGTTCAGCCGAGCCCAAGTCTCCTAGACCCCCAGGGAACCAGTGAACTGTCACCTTCTCTTCATCGCAGAATGAGTAAAGACCCCTGAACAAATGCACTGTGAATCATTCCCCATTCCCACCTTCAAATCTTTTCTCCCATGATTTCCCCCACCTGCTGGGTCTCTGCTGACCTTGCTGGGATCTCTGAGGACAGTGTGACTGGCTGGGCGATTGGCCCCATTGGTGGCGGGGTGTGAGGAGCCTGCGATCCCCTGAGACCTCAGAGGGCAGTCCTTGGGAAGCACTCACATCTCCTTAGAGCCCCTCCGTCTTTTCCCTCCACTCTCTCCCTAGGAAAAAAGCATTTCCACATCAGAGTAGTTTGAGCTGGGGGCGAGGGTTGGGGGGATCCCGTCCCCCCATCTCATGTCTTACCCTGTGGTTCTGTTCCTAATCATTTAGATCACCCCAGGTGGCCTGGTGACAACAAGAGTTTGTGAAGTTATGATTTCATGTTTTGTTTAATATTGTTGAGTAGCCTGTTAGTGCTGGGCACTGTGGATGGAAGAGTGAGCAAGACGAACGTGGCTCCCATCTCTATGGAATTTAGTGGAGGAGACATGAAAAGATTTACAATTAAGTCCATAAGCGCTACAATGGGGAGAGTCAAGGGTGGTGTAGGAACAAACCGCAGAGAGACATTCAGGCAGCAAGCAAGGTCAATGTAAATGCCTCCGAGGGGCGCAGAATGGGGGCTGGAAAAGCATGTGGCTAGAGAGGGAGATTGGGGTCAAGTCTTGAAGGACCTTTCTGTGAGCTCAGTAGGAACTTTCTTCTTCATCCTAAGGGCAATAGGAAGCCTAGGACAGTATTTAAGCAGATTCTGATTAGCAGAAGGGAGGCTGGCTCCTGCTAAAGACGGGATGCAGTGATGGATGAGACTGATTCCTGGGCCTTGCCAGCAAGGAAAAGACCATCTGACGGAGCCACAGACAAACCAGCACTCATGATACAAGGCGCTCAGTGCAACGTCAGGGACGTCTGCGAGGGATCTGATGGAATCCCATAGGAGGGCTACCTAATCCTGCTGAAGGGGTGCGTTGAGTTCTGGGAAGGAAGACAGGAAAGGCTTTTAGAAGGAGATGATATCTGGAGCTGAGTTCTAAAGGGTTAAGTTGTCAATGGGTGGACGGATGGCACTTCTGGTTGATGAGCCAGTATAAACAGAGGCATAGATATGAGAAAGGACCATGGTTTGGATGGGAGCGCCAATCAGGTTGGAGTGGGAATGTCAAGAGGTCTAAATCCTTAGGTTCTGCTGCTAGAGAGGGCTTGGAGGTGACCAGAGGGGTCTTGCTTGCTGAACTAAACAAATTTATTTGCTAGGAGTGACTTGGTAATGTTAAAAGGAAATTTTCTTTTTTGGGGGGTGGGTGACAGGGTCTTGCTCTGTCACCCAGGTTGGAGTGCAGTGACATGATTGTGGCTTATCGCAGCCTCTGCTTCCTGGGCTCAAGCAAGCCTCCCACCTCAGCCACCCGAGTAGCTGGGACTACAGGTGTATACTACCACGCTTGGCTCATTTAAAAAAAAAATTTTTTTTTGAGACTGAGTCTTGCTCTTTCTCCACGCTGGAGTGCAGTGGCACGATCTTGGCTCACTGCAACCTCTGTCTCCCAGATTCAAGCAATTCCCCTGCCTCAGACTCCTGAGTAGCTGGAACTACAGGTGTGCACCACCACGCCTGGCTAATTTTTTGTATTTTAGTAGAGATGGGGTTTCACCATGGCCAGGGTGTTCTCGATCTCCTGACCTCATGATCCACCCGCCTTGGCCTCGCAAAGTGCTGGGATTACAGGCGTGAGCCATCATGCTCATCCTTAACATTTTTTTGTAGGGACAGGGCCTCACTATATTGCACAGGCTGGTCTCGAACTCCTGGCCTCAAGTGATCCTCCTGCCTTGGTCTCCCAAAATGCTGGGATTATATGTGTGAGTCACCAAGCCTGGCTGGAAATTTGCTTTTTACAATATTGAACAGAGGGCTGGGCGTGGTGGCTCACACCTGTAATCCCAGCACTTTGGGAGGCTGAGGTGGGCGGATCACGAGGTCAAGAGATCAAGGCCATCCTGGCCAACATGGTGAAACCCTGTCTCCACTAAAAGTACAAAAAAATTAGCCAGGCATGGTGGTGCATGCCTGTAGTCCCAGCTACTCAGTAGGCTGAGGCAGGAGAATTGCTTGAAACTGGAAAATGGCAGTTGCAGTGAGCTGGGATTCCACCACTGCACTCCAGCCTGGCGACAGAGAGAGACTGTCTCAAAAAAACAAAAAACGATATTGAACAGGGGGAGAGTGAAGGCAGGGAAGCAGTTAAGGAGGTGATTGTTCCATCAGGGGTGAAGTGAGGAAGGCCTGAATTAGGGCAGTGGCCATGAGTCTGGGGGACAGTAGGCAAGTTGGTGAATTCTTTGGGAAATAAAGTTTTCAGATCTTGACATTTCTTTGAGTTATGAGTGAAGGAGAATGAGTTGTCAAGGATGGCATCCAAGTTTCTGGCTTGTAGGGTTTACTAGGTAGAAATGAAAGCGAGTCTCTGAAAACAAACCTAATCTAATACAGTCGTCCTGCATACTACAGTACTACAGCTGCACCCTCCCTTCCCTAGGAGGTCACAGCCCAAATGCCGAGGGTGAGGTCACAGGGCCTCTGTGGTCAAAATCCAGGATGTCTCCAATTCCCAATCCCACCCTGGCTCCAGCTCACCATTCTGCAAGCTAGTCTCAATTCAACCACTCTCCCTATACTCTGAGAAGGAAAAGATGAGGAATGAGAAAGAGAAAACATTTAAAGACAGTAATTCTTTCTTCAAAAAATGGGGAAAGGTAAATATTCCATAGGACTCCAGCAATAAGAAAGGGAAAAAAAGACGGGAGCACCAGTCATGCGGCCTTCGGCCGTGTGGCTACAGCTTCCTTCTTCCACCTGCCTGCCCCGTATTCTCTTGTCTTCAGGCAGACTTTCACTGGTTGGGGTTCTGGGTCCAGAGCAGTGACTCTAACCTCTGTTCCTGAGGCTCTTGAACCCTTGGTGGGTCTCTGATTAGAGTAGCAGTTTCTTTTCCTTCTTTCTTTCTTTTTGAGATGGAGTCTTACTCTGTCGCCTAGGCTGGAGTGCAATGGCACGATCTCGGCTCACTGCAACCTCCGCCTCCTGGGTTCAAGTAATTCTCCTGCCTCAGCCTCCTAAGTAGCTGGGATTACAGGCATGAGCCACCATGCCTGGCTAATTTTTTTGTGTTTTTAGTAGAGATGGGGTTTTACCATGTTGGCCAGGCTGGTCTCGAACACCTGACCTTGTAATCTGTCCACCTCAGCCTCCCAAAGTGCTAGGATTACAGGTGTGAGCCACCACGCCTGGCTAAGAGTAGCAGTTTCTTTTTTTTTTTTTTTTTTTTTTTTTTTTTGAGAGGGTTTGTTTTTTTTTTTTTTTTTTTTTTTTTTTTTTTTTTTTTGAGACGGAGTTTCGCTCTTGTTACCCAGGCTGGAGTGCAATGGCACGATCTCGGCTCACTGCAACCTCCGCCTCCTGGGTTCAGGCAATTCTCCTGCCTCAGCCTCCTGAGTAGCTGGGATTACAGGCACGCACCACCATGCCCAGCTAATTTTTTGTATTTTTAGTAGAGACGGGGTTTCACCATGTTGACCAGGATGGTCTCGATCTCTTGACCTCGTGATCCACCCGCCTCGGCCTCCCAAAGTGCTGGGATTACAGGCTTGAGCCACCGCGCCTGGCCAGAGTAGCAGTTTCTTAGCCCACTGTTCCGCGGGGGAATGTGACCCAGGTGTTCTCTGGTTCCTCCTGTACCTTTCCTGGCTTCCCTGAGGTGTGGCAACAATCACAGGACTCCCTGAGTCTCAAGGTTGGTCATCACCCTGACACTCTGACCTCCTTTTCTGTCTTTTCCTAATGCCATAGAAGCCTCAAATGGCAGGGTAGAAATCTCAGCTTCTAAAGGGATTATGACATTGCGCCCTGTGGCAGCATTGCTTTCTTGCATGCCCAGACCTTCACACTGTCAATAAGGAGGACAAGAATGATCATTCTGAGAGTGGGTCATTGATGCCATCTGAACCACCCTTTCCCCCCTCTAGCCTATAGACCCGTGAGTTGTTTAGCCATGAAGGGAAAACACGGTGAATTGTTTCTGGTTCCATTCCTAGCACAGCCGGCAACATTTCTGACAATACTTAGTCTTTGCAAAGCGGTGTCCACCTACCTGGCACCACCCTGGGTCTTTACTAGGCCAGCCTGTCACTCTGTAAAGCCACTTGCTTCTAGGTAACAGACACATGGTGAGATCAGCAAATCCTGTTGACATTAGCCCCAGCCTTGTTTCTTTTTGTTTCTTCAGTAGTTTTATTTTGAAGAATTTTAGATTTACAGAGGAGCTGCAAAGTTAGTGCAGAGAGTTCCCATAGACCCTTAACCCAGCTTCCCCTAATGTTAACATCTTCCTAACCATGTTACTTTTAAAATTAAAAAATTAACATTGGCACAACACTGTTGACTGAACTCCAGACTTTATTAGGATTTTCCTAGCTTTTTCACTAACACCATGCTTCTGTTCCAAGACCCACATTACATTTCATGCCTTACTTCTTTTGCTGGGAAGAGCTTCTTGGTTGGAGTTAGCCTGGTCTAGGACACCATGAGTCCATAGATGGTGGCGTTGGCAGGGAATGCAAACTCAATCCCTGAATAAGTGCCTATTCCAATGAGGACAGTTACTGCCACCAGAAAACTGGATGGTTGCACTGAGGTCTGGTACTGTATGAGGGGCTCAGGGTTTCACTGTTGCCAGCTCATTGGGTGGTCGTGGAGCTACACTGGCCTTGATGAAGAGAAGTCCATGCTGTTCCACCCAGGCAGAGCCTCCATTCCTGCTTCTCTGACTGCTTTGTTTCATGAGCCCTAGACAGCCCCTTGGTCATCCCGTCTATGGCTTATGAAGATCCCCTTCTGCAGGGAGCCTTCTGGTAAACCTGTTTGTGACATGTATTTTCAGTTTCCAGGCTCACCTAAAGAGATCCAGCCACAAAGCTCTCCCCAGATCTCCTTGTCATCAATTCACTTATGCTCCAAGATCTTTTTTTTTTTTACACTTTTTAATTAATTAATTTATTTTTTTAGAGATGGGGTTTCACCATATCGGTCAGGCTGGTCTCGAACTCCTGATCTCAGGTGATCTGCCCGCCTCGGCCTCCCAAAGTGCTGGAATTACAGGCATGAGCCACCACGCCCGGCAATGCTCCAAGATCTTGATCTTCTGACTCAAACCTTAATTGCTTCTTAAGAATCGGACAGGAAGAAATTCCTTTCTCTGCTGACTTTCAGGGCCACTCTCAGAAGGTCAGTTTCTAAAGAAAGGAGAATCGCTACGATCCAGCCACTTGACGTGATTAGGAACTGAATTGGGGAGGACGGGTAAGAATGGAGAGGAG